TAGATGGAATGACAACTTAGTCGTATCAGTAATCTCCAATAACTGTCCGGTCCGTCCCATAGGTTTTGCAAAGAGGTACGATCGCAAGCAGCGTAAAGAAGTAAATATATCTACTTATTCCAAATGTTATTCAAGAATACAATAGATGTATAGGCGGCGTTGACTTAGATGACAACGGCACAGCGAATTACAGGATTGCTGTACGAGGAAAGAAATGGTGGTGGCCACTTTTTAAAAACGTAATTGATAGTTCCATTGTAAATGCCTGGAAACTTTACATATTGGCAAATAAAAGCCCCATTTCCCAAATCGATTTTTGGTCATATATTGTTGTTTGTCTAATGAAATCGGAAGATGAAAAACAAGAAGAATGAGACCAGAATGAGAGTGAAGAAGATGAAAAGTCAACTGTACCGTTGACAGTAAACATGGGTAGATCGTCAAAAAATAGCTTACCAGATGAAATCTGAAAAGATAAGATAGGTCATTTAGTAGTAAAGCATGCAGAAAATGCAAGAAGAAGGTGCAGGGAGTGTTCTAACCATACTGTTTTTGTTTGTCAAAAATGCCAGGTCCATTTACACTCTAAATGTTTTGAGACTTTTCACAAAAAATAAAAATGTGTATTTCAATTTTTATATCTCACTTCCGCCAAAGGTTCGAAAACGAACCATTTTTTTGTTGTGACACCTGTCATTATCAAAGTGTAAAACAATTTTTTTATGTATTGTTCTGAAGCTATTTTCTTGTGGCATTGTAAATTAATTACTATTTATAACTGGGAATAAGCCACAATTAAAGATAAAAATACGTTTATTGACGTTTCAATTTCCAATTCGGAAATCGTTCTCAAAATACAAACAGTTTTATAAAAACTTATTCCCAGTTATAAATAGTAATTAATTTTTTTATGAATGTTTAAGTTTATTCCACCCTAGTTAATAAAATATATTATATATTATTGCAGTATTTCTGTGCTTGGCCGTTAATGGGTTAAAGAATGAACGTGATTAGACGGATCTGCGGATGTTGAAGCAGTATGTAAAAATAGAAGAGATTGTCGTCTTAACGTTAGAGCAGCTTCATTGGATTCACGATATATGCTCTGGATAGGAGTAGAGCAAAAAGCACCTAGACATAGACGGAGCGAGCTATTGTGAACAGAGTTTATTAAATCTATGTCACATCGAGAGGCAGGGGAAAAGATAAAGCTATCGTAGTCGAGCTTAGATCCGATCAAGGCTCTGTAGAATTTTAATAAAGTTATTTCATCGGCACTCCATTGAAGAGGACAGCGAAATAGGTCGGAAAATGAGTTTGCATAGTTTTGATATAAATCGAGTTTGATGTTTCCAGTATTAAGATAGACGTGACTGCTGCAACTAGTTCTACAATTTTTGCATAGCATTTTTCATATAAAAAAACTTGCACGTTATTCAAGATTTACGTCGCCAGGACTCCACAGCGTCGCCAAAACATCAGAATAGGTATTAAGTGAGCAATTTTTAAAATGTCATTTATTTGTCAAACTATTATATTAACAGTAAATACACTTAGTTTTAAGACTACTGCAACACAATAAAATAAATAAGAAAACATTTTAATACCAAATTGTATATTCTAAATATTAAACTTACCTCATTTAGGGCTTTAATAGTAAAAACGTCCCGCCAGTATTTCTTGTTCACAATATTTTATCTTATATGAAAGGTTACCAGCTTTCTACAGACTATTTATTTGTTTTGGCATATCACAATCACAATAAACAACAATAATTCGTTTTTAAAGCTAATAATATAAATTTCATATGTATTTATAAATACAATTTATTAATATAAAATATATTATGACCAAAATTCCTACTCTAAAAAAGCGGCAACACTTAATACACTTTTGCCACTGGCTGAACTGTCAAAAAATTTGAAGTATTTCCGTATCAGTTGCGTACAATTGTCTAATATATTTAATTAAAATTATTAATTTGTGGAATATTAGACTTAAAGAGTTATTTCATAAAATTTATATTATTAATATTAACAAATGTTTTTGGATATTTAATCAATATATTTCTAAAATTTCCCATATAATGATGATTACATTTTTCTGTAGCGTTCTACGTCACGCTACATCAAGTATACGACTGCACGAAGACACAGAAAAATTCAGCTTAGGTCGAGGAGTTAGACAAGGAGACAATATTTCACCAAAATTGTTCACGGCAGCTCTAGAGTCAATATTTACGGGTACTCAATAGCTAGATATGGGCATCAATATAGATGGAGAAAGATTAAATCACCTAAGGTTTGCAGATGATGTTGTATTAATCGCAGATAACTTACATGATACAGTTTCTATGATGAATTCGCTTAAAAGTCTGTCTGAAAGAGCAGGATTAAAGATAAACTTTGAGAAAACTAAAATTTTAACAAATCTCGTAATGAGTGAAAATATAACTATTGACAATAATACCATACAACAAACAGACACTTACAAATATCTGGGACACGAAATCAAAATAAGCATAGACAATCAAACACATGAAATACAGAGGCGAATAGGTCTAACATGGGCAGCATTTGGCAAATTAAGCCATATTCTAAAAAGTTCAATTCCCATGTGTCTCAAGCGAAAGGTTTATAACCAATGTGTATTACCTGTACAAACTTATGGAGCAGAGACATTAACACTCACGCAAAAATCTGCGAATAAACTTAGAGTTACACAACGAGCCATGGAACGTGCAATGCTGAACGTGAGCCTTCGAGACCACATAACAAACCAACAAATTAGGCGAAGATCAGGAGTTCAAGACGTCATCGAAAGAACCACGACGCTTAAGTGGAACTGGGCAGGGCACTTAGCCAGAATACAAGATGGACGGTGGACAAGACGTATTATGGAATGGAGGCCCAGAAATTATAAAAGAAGCCGAGGACGACCACCGACTAGATGGACCGATGACATTAAACGTGTAGCGGGAAACTGGCTACAAGCGGCCCAGTGTAGAGAACACTGGAAAGAACTGAGGGAGGCCTATGTCCAGCAGTGGACGCGATTGGCTGATTGATGATGATGATGACATTTTTCTGATTATTCCACCATGTTGGCGCCATGAAAGATCGAGCAGTTCCGTATGGGTTTCGTATTATTAGTTGTGTTAGGAAAATTTGAACTCTAAGGTTGATGTTCTGAAAATTTTAAATACAAGTAACGTCACTTTATAGGAATCGTGACGTGCAAGTGTTTTACTTTGAAAAATGGTATATGTAAAAGTCAAAAATACTTCATTTGTATTCATTTTAATTAGGGATGGAAAAACCTACCGGTTTTAACCGAAAACAGGTTGTTTTATCTCGCAATAAACGGTTTTTGGGTTGATTTTTTGTCCCGGTTATAACCGGTTTTTTATTTTAAAGTAAAAACCAGTTATTAGGATTAGTTAGGTATTATTTTGGATCCCAATCATAATTATATTCTCAAGTAATTATTCCAAACAAAACCATAATTTAAATTTTATTTTATTTTATAAATACAGAAGCAAACTGAAAGTGAAAACTCACATCAGCCAGAAACAATTAAGTTTTCGTTTTTTCGTTGGCCGGACATTCGGTGGCATCAGAGAGACTGGTGTCATCATTGAATGATATTTTGTCAAATGAGAGAAGCCGCTTAATCGATCAACCTATTTGTAACCTTGTAACCTATACTTTTTTACTTAAAATATCTCATTCTACTTATACTTATATTACTTATACTTTTGTATATTGTATATTATTGCAATATGTATAATATTAATCTTACGCAACATTATATTTAATAATAATCAATAAATATATATAATAATAATAAAATATTAAATAAATATAATAATTAATAGAATAAAATGGTTTTATTTAAATTGATATAGATGTTCTTTCGATAGTACTAATTTTGATTATATTGATGTCGCGTCGAATGAAGTATCGCAAACTAAAGTGCATTTTTAACTTTGTAACCTATTGGATTAAAAAAAAAAACCAAAACTGGTTTTTTGAAAAATCGGTTTTGGTTTTTGGAAAAAACCAAAACCGAATAACTGGTTTTGGCCGGTTGTAACCGCCAGGTTAAACCGTAAGCAAAAAAAACCGGTTTAACCGAAAAACGGTGTTTTGAGTTTGTTTGTTTTGGTTTTACAATAATATTTACTTTGAGAAAATTTGTCCAATTTGTGGTAAAAAATGTGCAATAAGGATTAAGGACCATTAGTCCTTCAATATTATTCCATAAGGGAACAATAGATCGCATTATATTGCAAAAATTATAAGTATAATATTCACATATTATTAGTTGGGGATAAACATATTTCTTTACGTGATTAACATACTTAAAAATATTAAACTTAATTAAATACAATTATTAATATAATAACTTTTCCTAGACAAAACTTCAAATATTAATTAAATGCTTCGTGTCATGCTGTCTAGCTGTTAGTTGAAAATGAAATCATTAGGACAGAAATCTACTACGTCTGTTTTAATACATAGAATTTAAAAAAATACTAAACAAAATTAAGGAAATAAACCAATAAGTAACAAATCATTTAACTCCCGATAAAAAACTACTTACACGACTTTTTTAATGTCAACAAACAAATTTTAATATTTATTACAAAATATTGACTGAAAATTAAAGTATTACTACGTGTAACTAATATAGAGCGCCTATAAAGTATACGTATACTGTTGAGTAGCAATCCATATCTTAATTCTTCACGATATAAGATAAAGCAAACATAAATTACTGGAATTGAAAAAGGATGGACATTGAAAGAGGGCCAATGAATGATGGATTTTTTTTATCAAATATTATAATTATAAAAATGTATAATTTTATAATCCATTGACATAAATAATTATTGTTTTCAAAAAACTGAATGGAGTCTAGGACCATAAAGAAAAGAAATAAACCTAAGATAAATTGGTAAAATGAGTCAAATTTTAAAATACAAATCTCATACTTACCTAAACAAGAATTTTTTTGTGGAATACTGTAAAATCCCCAGTTATAATCGCTCATCATTAAAGCTTTGTAACTGATCCCAGTAACGTCGGTAATATTATTTCCATAGTCACCAGCTTCCAGCAGCAATATTTTCCAGCCAGAAATTTCAGATAGGCGGTTTGCTAATAGAGTTCCAGTAGATCCAGCTCCAACAATGATGAAGTCATACTCTCCACAATCTAAAATAATATTAAATCTTAATTAGTTGTATTATCTCTTTAGATACATTGTAATTATCGATCTCTATTGAATGAACTGACAATAAATATTCAAAGATTGAATGCTGGTAGAAAGGAAAGTAGAGGAAGTTTAAGAACACAATAAATGACTAGCATGATTTAAAAATGTTATAAAGACGTGTACACGTTCCTTTAAAAATTAACTGCCCATGATGCGCCAAAAAAAAAGTTGTTTCCCTTTTCCACTAGGACCACTTGTCATAGAAAACGACGTCATTGAAGCAGTGGACGAATTTGTATACTGGGAGCGTTCCTTAACACTGAAAATAAGACTTTCGCAGAATTTTAACGGCCAACAGATGCTATTTTGGGCTCAATGTCCTCCTTAAATCCACAATTATATCGAGAAATACAAAAAAAACTCTATACAAAACAATAATACGTCCAGTCCTAAAATATGGTTCACAGACCTAAACTCGAACAAAAAGGAATGAAAACATATTAGGAGGTTTCGAAAGAAAAGTACTAAGTCGAGTCTATGGAGCCGTGAATGATATTGGAGTATGGAGAAGACGTCACAGCTTCGAACTTTGAGTATACCAGGAACCAGATATCTTAAAACATATTAAGATATGACATCTGGGATGGATAGGGCATGTAATGCTGATGAAACAAAAAAAAGGACCCAGTTAGAAAAACGCTATTTGTTGGTAAGAGAAGAAGATGAAAACCCAGAACAAGTTTTCTTGATAAGATCGATGAAGACATGAATATGGGAATACGTGCTTGGCAGAGGAAGGCGATTGATAGAGACGACTGAAGAAAAATTCTTGAAGAGGCTAGGACCCACGCAAGGTTGTAAAGCCAGAATGATGATGACATATTTGTAATTTATTTTAGTTAATAAAAGCAATTGTAAAAATATAAAGCATAATTAAAGAGAAATTAACACCGATACAAATCATTTTCAAATAAAAAGTTAATTTTTTTTGTAAAATTTATTTTTAAAAGGGCTTATTGATATTTATAATACATAAATATTTAAGCTACCCATCTTGTTGAAAATTTTTCTACTACTAATAGTAACAGAAAAGTAAAATTTTGCAAAATAAATATTTATTTTAAATTCTTTAACCCAATTACTCAGTTAAATAATTCACAACTTCACTAATTGAATTTTTGTAATCTGTGAAAAGAAGTATTCTAAAAAAACATCATTTTTCGTTGATTAGAACCAGAAATATTGCGACTTTTATTTTGGTTTTATGAAATCAGTTTTTGACGTAGTAAAATTGAGAGATAAAAAAAATCTGCTAGCTGTGATTCGAAGTGTCGTAGAATATTGAATTTTGTTTTAAAATTCAAAATTAAGCAACAAATTAACTAAAACAACTTTACAAACTCTCCTTTTTAAGGACTTTCTATGTATTTTTAGTAAAATTTTGGCACTTTTCCATATAATTTGCCGGTCTTCTTCATCTTTAGTATTTAAAATCAAAAAGCGATTTTTTATTGTTTCTATATTGTTTATTAGTAAAAAAAAGACGTTTACTCTTTGGCATATTTTGTTCATCACATATTGTTATTATCAAATTTATCAAAAGCAGTTGTTAGATAGCTGTATTAAGTAGTGTCACAAAAAAGGCTTTTTATTTGCTAATTTCTCTGGTCCATTAGTGAAATAAATTGGAAATACTGGAAAAAGTTCGAAAAGGTGAAACAAAGATAGTAAAAGAAACAAGAAAGTAAAAAATCAAGAAACAAAAATAAAAACTCAACCAACAAACAACTACAAAATACCAAAGAAAAAAGTTAATGAACTAAAAACTAAAAAAAGTAAAACAACAACCATGGGAAATGTATGGAGAAAAAATGAAATAGACTGGCAAAGGCAGGGAGCTGTTCTACCAAACAAAAAAATTCTTTAGACAAGTAAAATAATACAAATGTATTGTTTCTAAGGAAATATAAAAGCCAAATAAGACGAAATATTAATTGAGAAAATCATGACCAAACCGAAGGCGTATTTTTAAGGATCTGTTAACAACTAATCAATTCATCATATTAATTTCAAACATTGATGGTAATAAAAATAAATATTAATAAATAATAAAATAACAAAAATAACAATAACACATAATAATCAAGGAAGAAATCACATAATATTTAAAAAGGTTAAAACGTTGAAAAGTTAGCTGGCCACAACGGATTTACAGCAGATATAGTAATATATCTACATGAAAAGCTATTTAAATTATTCATTTTGAGTAAGTCTTCTACTAAATAAAAAATTATCATAAACAGGGGGATAAAAATCATCGTATACAATCTACAATTACAAAATTTAATAAAAACAAATGAAAATAGAAATGGGTTTAAAAATGGATTAAATTTACTTAAACAGCTAATTAAAAAATATTTATCGCTATAGAAAGGTACTCGATATAATGTAAATAAATAAGTAAATAAAATTCTATTAACAACAACAATGCAAAATATAATAGAAATTTTTTATTTAGCGTATGGACTTTCACAGTATGATAAATATACAAATACAATAATATATACATATATATTAAATATATTATTTATACACTAAAGATAGAATGAATGACACTCCGCCTCCACGTAGTGCACCCTGGGTAACGCTAAATGGTCTATCAATTTTTGGACTCCAAACTAGTCGCTGAGCTCTCCTGGCAACCAGTACGATAAAGAAAATAATAGAAATATTTAAGAAGAGTAAAAGGTGTAATACAACGAGATCGTATCAGCAAAAAGATAAATCAGAAAATACAGACGCACGACAACTAACAAAATTGGAACACGAATAAGCTTGACAGACAATATGCAATTAAATGAAGTTTGGCAAGCTAGTTATAATAAAAAGAGATCCAGAGGATAGTCCAGGAAACAGCTGGTAAGAACTAATAAATAGATTATAAATAGATAAATAGATAAAACAAGTACCCCTTTCTCATTATTACAGTAACGTTTGAGACAGAGAGAGAGAGAGAGAGAGAGAGAGAGAGAGAGAGAGAGAGAGAGACAGAGAGAAATAAAGGAGAGAGAGAGAAAATCAGCGAAATATACTGTTTGCACACAATAATTAATTAAATAGGGATACATGGATAATCGTTATATATCACATTTTTGAAGAGGCAATAGTACTTAGTTTAAATTATACTTTTTTGAAAAGAATTTCAATTATACCTTCTGGTGGGCTAAATCGTATAGCTCGGTATTTTTCTGCGCTAGTATCAGGTTGGTAGGTTTTTGAGTCCTCTATTGCTTTGTTTAGCTGCGTCTCGTAGTAATCAATTTCTTCTTCTGTGTACGATAATGCCGGGTGTGTTAAAAACAACAAACAAAAAATACTAGATAAGCACAACATTTTTAATGTAATAATTTAAGTTCCAAGTATAAAATGGTTTATATACCGTATATGTTACACGTATAATTGGTTAATTACACATTATAAAATATGAATTATGTATTTAGAAAGATAAGGAATATTATTTGCTTACAGTTTTGGGAATTTCGTTATTGTTTTTCCCCAAGGCAGTGTCTATTGAGTGGTTATTACGATCGATTACTATTATTATTAATATATACAGTGTAATGTTTTTTTTTATTTATTAAAGAGACAATGCACTGAATCCTTTGATTAACCAGCATTTTAATTTATCCTAATTTGTTACTTTACTCTCCTAGTTATTTCCAATAGTTCACCTTAGAATTTAATACTAATTGTTGCTTACCTTACGCTTGTGGCTAGGTTCACTGCCCGAATTTAAAGAAACATTTTATACCGAGCTGTACCGAAAAAAAACTTCGAAAAAAAAAACTAATTCTAAATTCTAAAAATGTGACTTTTACCATTTTAAATTTTTGAAAAAGATTAAAAAATCCTTTTTCCTTTTTTTCCCGAAGACGAACTTCCTGAGATCTGATTGGTCAATTCCTTTTCGAGATACGTATAATTGTTTATTAATAATCATTAAACTTCTATGAAGTTTACAGGGACAGAATTTTTTTCTAAAAAAGATAGAGATTTAGCTTTAAACGGATTCTCTTGTTGGTTAATTATATTTTTATTTAGTAGTAAAAATAATTGCTCAAAAAGTGTTTCAACTCTGTGTTTATTGATTTGAACTAGGGGCGTTTTTTGCGTTATAAACTAATTAAGCTACAGCGCTCCCTATCCAGTACACACAGTTTTAGCTTATTGATTCTTATGGCTGAAATCAAAATAAAGATTAAAAAAAAACTGTTTTACGTATGACCAATGAAAGGTGAGTTAGCTTAATTTATTTAAAAAATTACAGCTACTGTGTTTATAACAACTGAAAATTAAAATTAGGTCTATTCAATAGTTAGGGGCCTATATTTGATGGGTAAATAATTTTAATTTTTAAAAAGTTGCTATTTATAGTCAAAAACACGAGTAAAGTTGACTGTTTTTTCGAGTAGCCGAATCAGCTCGGTTTTCCTGATTCGCCTGTCGGTCCGGACGGTACATCCTAGCTGTAGAGATCAAAAGTAGGGATGTGTAGTTCACCATCGAAATAGTTCAAATGAACGATTCTTTCAACTGAACTAATTGAACTAGTTCATTAATTTTCATAGAACTAGTTCACTGCGAACGATTTGCAATATAAATTGTGTCTCAACTTCTAAAGAAGAAAATAATGAATGAATGAATTAGAACATATATTTATTATTTTGTGAATGGATGGACTGACTAGTTTAAACAAAATGCCGGTTAGTCTCACATAACAGATTCATAATTCTTATGAATGTGACAATAACATAAAGTCTTATCTTAATGCCATAATGGTTCGGATCTTATGCCCATGTATTGGCTTGGATATTGCCATGCTGTGTTGTTTCTTGTATTGTAATATTAAAATAAAAATTTTAGTTGTGGTTAAAATGATTGAGGCATTTACATAAAATATAATTTTATGTAAAAGTGAGAATGAAAATGTGTTATTTAATGTTCCTAGAAAATTCACTGATTTTGTTTGTAAAGGTTCTTTTATAAATAACCTAATTATAAATACACATGAGTTTAAATATACGTAAATATAAAAATAAATCATACGTGAACCATATTTATATTTAAAACGGGTAATAAAAAACAAATCTTAATAATTTTTTGCAAATAAAAACTAACTAATCGTATAATAATTTAAACCATTTAAACCTAACCATACGATTAAAAGAAATAGTTCCGAACTACTTGTATGGTAGTGAACTAGTGAAAGACTGACTGAAAACCGAAGAAAACGGGCGGCCGGCGCCGAGCTTGTGTGATGATTGAGACGAGACATCTGGCAACCAGTTATGTTAGGGTTGGATTTCGATTTCGGTCCTACAAATAGTTCTTTCGCGAACTAGTTCACTGAACTAGTTCATTTTTGTGAAATAGTTCTCTTGAACCTTGAAGCACACCTCTAATCAAAACTGTCTTACATTTTGAGCATTATTAAGTGAATTTTTGAAACCAGCATGGCGTTATGAAGTGCAATCCCTGAAGTAACTTCCAAGTCCGTGTAACTCCAAATTGTTGTTTATATTTTTTTGATGGCACTTTAAAGTACAAAAAAAAACACATACACTACGCAGACACTTTTGTGCAGATAAGTTTGTAACTAGAGGTATCTCAAAAAACTTCAACTACTTACTACTTAAAAGATATGCGTAACTTTAATATTAGATAAGATTTTAATTTAATATTGGTATAACAAATAACTCCCATATTCGTTAAAAGTTATAGGAAATTGACAAGATATGAAGACCAATTTTATAAAAATAAAATACAATTTATTTTCACTCAACCTAATGAGATTCTCGTTTCCGAGGTAATAAAAATATATTACATGGATTAAATCCTTTCAGGATGGATTATAAAAAAAAGTAAGTAACATGAAATGGCCTATATTTCACTATATTTTCACTGAAGGCTCCAAAATTCAAAATAAAACGGATTAAACAATATACTGCTGGAATTCTGATTCCAAAGAAATCATAATCATATTCAAAATATTTTCTACAACTAACCACAACATTTTTCAAATAAGAGATATTTTAAATATGAGTCAAATAGATTATTCATAAAAACAATAAACATAATAAGATCAAATCATGCACTTCCTTCAGCATACAAACACAGAATAGGTATGACTGATAACCCATATTGCTCTTGTGGTAAAATGGGAGATATACAGCACCGTGTATTGGAATGTGAACAGTACAAACAAAGTATCAAAATAATGTATGAAAAGCTAATTGAACTAAATTTTCCTTTACCTTTCAATTTAATACAATTATTTTCCAAAAAATAAGCAGACATTAAAAAATATCTACGCATATATAACGTCCTATAAATTTAAATCATAAATAGGCTTAGTTAATCAAATTAAAAATCAACATAAAAATGTAAATATCTTATAAAAAAAATTTAAAAAACATATCTACTAACATATAACTCCCTATAAATTTGTATTATAAATAGGCTTAGGAAATACAGTGGTTTATCAAATTATTATGATCACTTATTTAATAAAGAATAAAACTGCATAATAAGCGTCTAATGATGTGGATATAATATAAGAATAGTTCAAAAACACGTTCTTTTACAAAATAATAAAATATTTTTTTCTTTGACCCCCTTTAGCTTCGATGACAGCTTTAATCCTCCTTGGCATGATTTGAATGTTTCTCAGGCAGTGTTCTTTTATTTTATCGTTTCTGTACCAGATAGCGATGAGTCTCTCAATTTGTGACAGTTTCCTGGGAAATTCCCCTCTTCATAAGCTTCCATAGATCGGATTGAGGTCCGAGGAATTACCTGGCCACTTCAGTACTTTGATTTCCTTTTTTTCCAGGTACGATGTTACTTTTTTGCCTTATGGCACGATGCTAAATCGTGCATAAAGGTGAAATCATCCGATTCGCCAAACCAGTCTTTGATTTGTGGCATAAGTTTCTTTCCAGAACTTCAATATACTGATGTTGATTCATCATTAAATTCACAATGTACAGCCTTCCTGTGCCCTTACTGCTGATGACAGACCATACCATGATCTTGAGAGAATGCTTTACTCGCTCCACTATGCAATCCTTTTGATATTTTCACCCACTCGCCTTCGGACGAAGGCCCACTTATCCACGAATATCTCCACTGTAGACTCATCGGAGAAACAAAACTGTGAATAAAAAAAACTATAAGATATTTTTTTAAGATAAAAACAATGGTTATAGGGATTTAAACTTTGATAATGATGTAATTTACCTCATTCCAATCCACAACTTTGGTTTCTGGCAGGGCGACATGATTTGAAACCTTGTTCAGCAAGCCTTCATGTCAGAAACTGGTATCCCAGCTTCACGAATAAGTCCTATGAGGATTCTCTTTGGCTTCTTTCTATTGTTTAAGAAGCGATCCCTCATTTTTCTTTTGTCTCTGGGTGTAGTGACACGCTTTTGACCACATTTTTGGGCACGCTGGTAAGTTAGGGGTTTGTTGGTATCATTTTTTTTTTGATATTGCTCACTGTTGCTTGCACTACTTTGCATTGTTGAGTTTTCTGACGTTGTGAAAGCTTTGTATTCAATAAAAGTATCTTTATCTCCACCATTTTAGACACAGGGACGTCTTTAGTCTTACCCATTATGATTTTCTTCTCAAAAATCGAAATGTTTTGAATATGTCTTTAAAATTAAAACTGATAGTTTTTTTTTCACTCACAATCTTCACTAATACATTAATAAAACATACTACAACGATAAATCGATACTAATCTTCCAAAAACAATACAAAAACATACAAATTCAGTTGTAAACTCCAAGCGCAAATTCACCACAATGTGTATGTTGTCACGTAATTTGACACAAATGATAGTTCTAGAGCTGTAAACGTTAAAAAAGTAAGGTTATTAGTCACAAAAAATATTGGCATACCTTAATCGTATAGCAGCATATGATTTTATAATAAAATTTTTGAACAAATTTGAAAAACTTAAACTTTTGTGACTGATCATAATAATTTGATCACCCACTGTAAAATCAAAAATTGTAAATATGTCACACAAAAAAAAAAGAATAATAAAAAAGCATAAATATTGCATGCAGTAAATACATGTTATAAAATAAATCTAATATAAATATTTACTATTTAATATAAAAAATATATCATCTATGTAATATAAAGATGATTATTTAAAAAGAAATGTTAATTGTCACTAAGGTGTAAATCGCTAATGTTATAAATAAAATAATTGTTCCAAGAGCCGCGAATTTGAAGTGTGCCGGGCCAACAAAAGAACCAGTCAAAACCGAGATGATTGGTCTACTCGAAAAAAAACAATCAACTTTACTCATGTATTT